CACACACACACACCCAAAATATCATCCTTCTCCTAAAAGCCATTCGCGCTCGAGTGCGTCGTCTTGTGGGTGTTGGAGGTTGTAGTCGTGATTTGACTGAACCGGTTGCCGGTCGCAGAACGCTTGTTGGCCCAACTTGGGTCCACGCTCGATGGGGCGAGGCATTGACCATGTTGGAGGAACCCAATGTAACGCATGGCCGATGCAGACCAACCTCATGACGCAACTATCCACGCCTCACTCGTGAATTGCACACTGTTTTGTTAGGGGATGATGACGTTTTGAGGTTGCTGGGAAGGGGAGTATTAGACCTGGTCAAAGCCGAGTCGCAAACGGAGGAGATCCTTGAGGATGAGCTGGACACGCTTGTGTTCCGACTGGAGTCTGAGCTGTTCGATGTGTTGCAGATCGTCGTCACTCTGATCCTGCTCTGCCTCGTGGTTTGAGTCGCGTTTGCGTTTCTTGATCTGGTCCAATCCGTCAAAGAGGCCAGACAGCGTACGTACGGCTTCGAGCATCTTTGGTCGCGAAAGCCAGACGAATCGATCGAGCAGTCTTGCGTCCAGTATACCTTTGGCGAGGGAGCGGGGGACAAAGTCGTTGCGCACCGCCCGGAATGCACGCGGGTTCAGCGCGGCCGTATGCTGGACTGAACGAACCAATTGGCCCTGCAATAGATGCAATCGTTTCGCCACTTTGTCGTCGAGTGCCGAGAGCGAGTCCAATGCACCGTTGGCTTTGGCAAGCACAAGCTTGCTGCGTCCTTCTTCGCGACCACGCAACTCCGAGTCGGACAACCACCGTCCTCGACACACCGTCGACCCCACTGCAGCGGCGGGCGTTTGAAACTCGCTCCGCAACAGCAATCTATGTCCACCAAGTGTGGTGGCTACGTGTGGTGCGTATTCGTACAGCCGAATCACCCCTGCACTGGCACCGAACCCCGAGATGCCACCCAGAGGTACGTCGCTCGTAGAGACGAGCGAGAGTCGATCGTTGTACACGAGAAACTGCGCCATGGACGCATTGTGATCGTTGATCTCGCGACCCAGATCGACGAACCGATACGGCTCCTCCTGGAACGCCAGTAGGCAGAGCGACTTTTTCGCATCGCTGACAAGGACAAAGTTCTTGAGCACGCGCAGGCTCGTCATGTAGAACGGGCCGTCCAGGAAGGCGACCGAGATGAGCCACTCCTCTTTCTCGAGCGCGCGCACGTACAGCTTCTGCCCACACGTGCTGAGCAGGAAGCCGTTGAGCTCGGCAATCGCCGTCACGGGCGCACGCGCGTCGTCGCGACACACCAGCTTCAGCCGCAAATCCCGACCCAGCTGATACTTGCCCGACACCACTTCGATGACCTCGAACAGATACACGCTGCCCTTGGACGTGCGGTCCTCGCCGTGAAACGTGCTGGTACCAGCGGCGATGAACTGCCGCCGGCCGGTGGGGGAGCTCGACGCATCCAGGCTGACCAGCTCGAGCGCCGTGACGATCTCGTTGGCCTCGAACTCGAAGCCGTCCGCAGCAGTCGTGCGGTCCTCGTCGATAAACAGCTCGAGCGAACCGCGGAGGCCTTGACTCGGATGCGCGTCTTCGTTGGCGACGTCCGTCTCGTTGCCCGTCGGCACCGGCTCGCCGTCATCGTCAAAGAGAACGAAGCGACATGGCTGTACCGAGGCGGCGATCACCGTGTGGGTCGGGTCGTGTGCGACGACTCGCGTGTACTCGCGCCCCGTGCGGACTACGCTCGACATCCACGCGGTCGTCGAGTACAGGCCCTCAGGTGAGCAAGCCAGCCACACCGCACCCGCACGGTCGCAGTACGCGAATTCAGCAGCCTCCGTGCCGGTGGATGGCGCGCGCGGGATGGAGGCAGCCCAGGCGAGGCTGCCGTCGTCCCAGTCGAGCAGCCTGTATCCGCCCTGGTGGGTCCAGCACAGCACACTCGCCTGCGCCTCACGGCCCCCACCGAGCACGATGAGCGCATTCGGCTCGTGCGTCTCCTCGTGCCTGGCGCTCGCAATCGCAATCGGCTCGAGCTGCACCGGACCCGCGCGGAACCCGTCGCGATTCGCTTCGAACGAGCGCGCACCCGCCGGCACCGCCAGCACCTGCACATGCACCTTGTTGAACGTCAACCCGAGCGCGGCGGAGCCATGGCTGCCGTCGAGCTGGCTCTGCACCCTGGCTACCTCGTCAGGGCTCGCCCACGCATTGCTGCGGTACACGCTGAGAAAATGGTCCGCAGTGAGCGAGACGATGCTGAGCATGTCGCCCACATGGCACACGCGCACACTCGACAGGCTCGCCACCTGCTCCGCCGCAAGCTCGGCGTGCCCGCGCTCTTCGTACCTCAGCCGCTGCGGCTGTGCGGCCAGACTGGCGTTCTTCCATACGAGCTCCAGCCCCGGCAGCGTCAGGATGCGCGTCACACCCTCGCTATCCAGCGCGAAAAGATACGCTGGGGCTTCGGCGCTCTCGTCCCGAGGCTGGGTGATGGCGGTAGCGGGCTCGGGCACGTCGTCGTCGTAGTCAACCTCCTCGTCATCCTGCAACGCCAGCGCGCGTGTCGTCGGTGCCGCCACTTTTGTCTCGCCGTTCAAGGCCTTCGTTCCCCGCACGAGAGCCAGCTGGCCGTACGTGTCGCGGAACACGTTAGCCGCCACAATCGACGAACGCTCCTGCACCGTAGACAGGTTGAGGCGCTCGAAACGTTGCTGCGCGTCGTAGCGGTAGATGAGCGTGTCGCCGTCGGCGGTGTGCAGCACGGCGTACTGCTGCGCATCCAGACTGGCCGAGAGGACGTGCGCGCCCGAGACCGCTGTTTCGTGCAGCACATCCCAGGAGCTCGACGAGAGCACCTGCAGACTGGTGGGCGTGATGCGCGCGATGGCATCGCCACCCACAAGCTCACCGGCATTCATCGTGGCACCCTGCAGATCCACCACGCCCGTCGCTTGTGCGCCTCCGTCTCCGTGGCCGACGCTGGCGGTGCTGGCGAAGCCGATCGATCGGTCGCTGTCCGAGTCGGACGCGATCAGAAGCACGCTCCCGCTGGCATCCGTGCCGACAGTGAAGATCCTCGAATACTTGGCATGCGACTCTGGCTCGTCGTGCGTCTTGTCGCCGAGGCGGAGCTCGGTGCGTCGGTGCGGCACGAAGCGCGGGTCGAGATAGACGAGGCCCGCTTGGTTGCCCGCGCCGCACGTGCCGACCAAAGTGTGGCGCTTCGACGAGCGGGGTTCGGGCTCGGCGAGCTTGCGACGTGCGATGCTGTGCAGCGTGCCGTGCGAGCGCACCTCGTCTGCTCTGCGCAACGCCATCACGGTCTTTTCCCTGCTCGCGCCATTTGCCCTGCCGGTGTCGGCGGCCGAAGACCCGTAGAGGTCGTCGTCTAGATCGAGGTCCATGTCGTTCGCATCTGCGCCCGCCTTGGCGTCCTGCTCGACTTGCTCCACGGCCACTTTGACGGGCACGAGATCGTACAGCGCCGCATCACCCGCCATGGACGCTGCGAACAGCATGTCGGGCTTGGCTGCGCTTGCTTGGTCGGCGGCATACGACGGGATGGCAAGACACGAAGGCGGCGGCCCCGTTGCGGCACGCATCTCGTCGGAGCCGGCGGTGAGTTGGTCGATGCGCTCGAGGCGGAAGCCCTCTACACTGCGGCCGTCCATGTGGCATCGAAGACGGTAGAGGTCGCCGTTGCTGAGGCTGAGCACCGCGTCTGTGTCGGTGGTGAAGACGAGCTGGGAGGCTTGCAGGTCGGCTAGGCCGGGCACGTCGAGTACGGATTCGGGCTCGATGGCCGAGGTAGTTTTGAACCAGCGGTTGAGCGCGGTGACGACGACTCTGCCGCTCTGGTCGACATGAAGAATGGCGGACATGCATACGACAAGCACGCCTCCAAGGGATTGTGGGCAGGGGAGCATGTAGAGGCAGTCGTAGGGCAGCTGCGAGCTGG